ATCTCTGTTTGAATCAAATAAATTGTTCATTCATTTCTAATTGATTATCTACTTCTAATGAATGCACTATTGATTCCATGTAATTGAAGCTTTATTATTTGAATAAATATATAAATTTCGCACAAAAATATTGTGAGGGTTGCAGGCCAAGGCAAAGCTGAGGAATGCAATCACACGGGTCAGAAAAGTTATTTTCGGCCGAGTGACGAATATAATTTTTCTTCACAATTTTGTCCGTTTTACGGACAGTGTAATGAAAAAATTGAAACTTGATTTTTTCTCATTTATTGAATATAAAAAATAAGTACCAAAGTCATCTGTATGATAGAGACGAACTTCGGCAACTTTCAAATTTCACCGCGATCTCCCTTCAGCTGCACCCGACGTGGTATCAAGCCGCTACACGGATTGTACATTTTTCATTGAAACTTCATCAAAGCCTCCAATAACGGCCTGACATAAGTCAATTCCCGAAATGATTCAGTCCTGTTCAAAGTACGTCGAATTCATCAGCTCAATTCATTATTATTTTTTAGTTGAATGATCAAAATGATAAATATCAAAATTCTCAATTTGCCGATTATAATAGGTAATAATCAAATATTATCAATAACATATATTTTTCAAATAATTTCGCTGGTGTTCAACTGGAATGAAACCTTGTTAAGTCATTTCTGCCATATCTAGAGATAGTCTTCTTGGTTATTAGTACTCAATCGTATTTAGATCGATATGTGACGTGTAAATAGCTATGTACACACTCATGTTCAATCATCGATGCTGTATTTACCCCTCCTTCCCCAAGCGCATCCTTGTCAATCGCTGTGTTTGACAGTAAGAGGGTCAATCACTATCGTTTACGATCCTTAGAGTGTGACCACACATCGATTACAGACGGGTATACATTTCAATGGGTAACTTCTGATTGATATGCTGTGAGGGAACACGATAGCTTCACTCAATATTCTCAATCTCTGTAAATACATCTCACGGAATGATTCATGATATTTACCCCATCGTCTATATATGATGGGATTTCTGGTAAAATAGGAATCATATAGAGTTCAATCGATTTGACCCTGTCTTTAATGAAAAAATCTCATTTTCCAGGTTTTCACGTTACAAGAAATTTATGGACAGCAATTTTCATTCGACTTAGCACTTTTTCCTAAGATATTGCTTAGACTTCAAAGAATAAAATGAGGTGTCCGTTTTTTTTCAATTTTCAATAGATTATAAGAAAATACTTCTTTGTTAGATTTTCTCTTTCTCGCTCGTTTTTGGATAACGCCTGAAAAACAGCAGTTTTGAGTAGTTTAGATGTTTGTATACATATTTTTTCGGATTGAAAAAATCGAATGGTTTTGATTGGATTGGTTTTGCGTTACGAGAAACCAAGCAACAAAAGAAAATCGAAACAATAGTATATTGTGTTACTAATACCTAACGTTGAAGTTTTTCACTTGCACGTGTAACACATACTATTGATGTGATACCTGCCACGTTCACTGTTCAGGGCGATACCTAGTGGGGGTAAAGTGGTTGTGTTTATGCATGAAGTGTGTAAAGTGCAAGGTCGTCCGGAAAAGTGAATTTCGAGAATTACGAGAGTAACGAAAACAAGCATTTTACGCACACTAAACTGTTTTGAAAAGTGAACTCTCCAGGCAGGTATCACAAAAATAATTTTCTGATGATCTATGAAAAAGCGAAAGAGACCCAATATTCTTAAGCGTCTAGACGAACACAAAAATCGTAGTCTATGTAGCATTTTTACGGTAGAAACTCCAAAAATAAGTAATAATACTATATATGAAAAAATAAATAAAAATACCATACACGAAAAAATAAATAATAGTACTATACATGATTCTAATTTGGTGTGTGTTCCATCATACTCAGAGGAAAGAAAGTGTTTATGTTCAGGGACATTGTCACTTATTTTCTGAGTAATGTCCCCGAATTTTAGGGATCCTTGTCTAATTTTTAGAATAAAGTCACTGATTTTCAGGGAGTCATCTCTAATTCTGAAGAATCTATCACCATCCGAGTCGAATATCTGGACCTTATTCTCCCCTATTACCTCCTCGAGTCGTATATCTACCTTATTCGCCCCTATTACCTCCTTGAGATATTTTTTCCTTCTTTCTTCATCCTATACATCCTGAACAACTCCTTCTATGAACCTGCGTCATCCTAAAGGCGTAAAAACCCTTCTCAACTGATACTTTTTTCCCCCTTCTCCTCCTGTCGAATGAAAAGGAATCATAAATCCCCTGAATTAACCCTGATAGCCAGGATGATCTGTTTACAGGTTCTTTCCAGGGGGGATGGAGTGGAAAACATTTTAGGCGGTGCAGACGATAAATAGGTTTAACACACCTTCTGTTTTCCTCCTGAACCCTCGGAATTTGGAAATAATTCGCACATTCAGGCGGAAACCAGGGGGGCTTTCTGAATGTAAATACACCCTAACTTCATCCTGGTCCTCCTACTCATGATGGGTGTTCAAGGGGGAATTCAGGTCCTAATATTCGACTCGGGCAAATCCGAAGCATAAAAATCATTGATAATCAGGGCCACTCTAGTCAGTATCCAGTACCACCAATAATTGGCGATAGATTCAGAAAATCAGAACTTTTTTTTTCTGTGTATACACTGTTACAAAAAAAATTAAATGAATTAGTAGTTGATTACTAATTTTCAGAATAGTAACACTGAATGGGATTTAGAGGAAAAAAATCAGGAACTTTCAGGTTTCACTGGAAATTCAGTGAAAATCCAAGAATATATTTACGGAATTTTCTGGTTTTCTATTTATTGTCAGAAAAAAATGGAACCGAAAATTTACAATTCTGTTGGATTTTTTCACGCAATTTGGAATTTTCAATGACTTGAAATTTCAGTGGTAATTAAATTCGATAAGAATTTCCAAAAAGTGTAACCGAAATTTCAGACAAAATTTTTTAACAGTGTATCGAGAATCGGCCGATAGGTTCATTGTAGCCACAAACTTTCAAGTTCCAGGGGGGTCCCTCTCTCAGTCGGGTCATGCAATTTTACTACAGCAGCCTCTACCTCGTGAATTCTGGGTTACGCTACAGCTGGTGAGTTTGATCAATATCTCTCTACTCAGTAAACAATATATTTCAAAAGTTTTTATTCCTTTTCGGAAAATTCTAATTGAGTTTATGCCTTTAGAAGGCAAGACTGGGTATTTATTGGGAACCACGCCGTACATTTATGCGAGTACCTACCGAAAAAGGTACACTGATAGAATGATTCAATTATTCCAAACGACATTCGTTAACTATTAACGAATGGTAGAGTTGAATATGACCAAATGAATATTCGTTAATAGTTAACGAATGGTTCACTTGAATGGCGAAAGTCAAGTCAAACAAGGCTTCTTAAATATACATTCGTTAACTATTAACGAATGAACATTTGGTGAGAACGAATAGACCCTAACCTCCATTCGTTAACAATATCCATTCGTTAACAATAACTAATCCGTTCTATCAGTGTATATATTTAAATGTACCACCTAGCTTAGAAACAGCGACCAATTCCTACGTCGCAAGAACCATATTAATTCGAGTTCATGTAGGCGACATTGGATGATTTTTCTGTTATACTAATTTCTTGATATACATAAAATTCATGTATAAAAACATGAATCTGTCGTGAGACCGGCTTCTAGGGATCACCTGACATGTACACGCAAAATCACTCACGCAGATGATCGCCATATATACAAAAAAATCCCGTCCAATTCAATTAATTCCACAACAAAAATGAGAGAAGCCTAAAAAATACGTGGGCCACTAGTTGTAACTGGAAAGTCAGCTGTTGTAAACAAAAGTGAATCCCGTCAACAAAAAGTCACTTTCTCACACCCCTGCACGGAAAGTTCATACTTTTCTCCCGCTCATCAAAGAGCAAAATACGACCTTTCCTTTGCAGGCATGTTAAAAAATTGCATGTGCACCCCGGGCGGCAAGTCAAGACTTTCCGCCCTTGATGCACAATATACTATTTCGTTTACTATCGTAAAAGCTACACTGAGAAAAAAAAATTCTAGGAAATAGAAAGTCTATGATTGATCCAAATCGTTCATCGATTGAATAGTCGCAAAAGAAAATGCTATTGTAAGACCCAAATATCGATTTAATTTTAATGTTTTCGACAAAAAAATACTGAGATCAGTTATCTGAACTGTTTTTTTGTTACTATCTACTTTTCAGTACATACAAATCAATGTCTGTATTATCAGATATCTTGTTCGAATAAAGCATGTAATTATCCAATTTATCAGCGTCACGATATCACGCAAAAGAATATCTGTTCGATTGAAAGCAGAATTCATAGATGCAATAAAATATTCATTTGGTCTATGAGGAACATATTGTTGGATACTCATTGATGCGAAACTTTCGCGGTGAGCAGTTTCTTGTTTATGACAAACGCAATCCTTCATCATTTGAACTGATTATTTTTCCATTGCAATTGTGAAAAAAAAAAAATTATTTGCGCCAAATCCGAAGCATTTGAACTAAACCAAAATTATATGAAATCGATTTTGTCGCAAAAACATGAATTTTCTAAATTCGATAGAATAAACAAAATATACTATACTATAACAAAATCGATTTCATACAATCCAATTCTGATTTAGTTCAAATCAATATTTGTGTCTTATAATAGCATTTTCTTTTGCGACTATTAAATCGATGAACGATTTGATATTTGATTTGATATTCTGTTCTACGACGAAACCAAACATATACAATTTATATTAAACCATATACAATTTCAACTTTTTCTGGGGCTGTATTCTCCGAGGTTGGAAAAATATGATAAGCCCGTATTCAACGTACAACTTAATGCATATGCATAGAATAGAGTGGCAAAGCCATCAGTGAGCACTACCAACCCGTGGATTAAAGAAGTGTATAACCAAGGTATATGAATTGCTTCATAAATATCGAACAACATACCTGTAGAATGGCTCGCCGTGTGGCTCTTTGAACCACAGTACCATATATACAGCATCATTGATGTCACGAGGATGGAGTATGTCACAAGGGAGATACACCTGTTGTCCAGCTACTCCTTGAACCGTGTCAATGGGTACTGAAACTCAAATAAAAGTCCATATGATTATTGACTCCATCAATGGATTGATTCACAACTAAAAATTCCAGCACACGAATCAGTAAAGTAACGTGGCGGTAGAATGACTTCCCGAGTCGAATATTAGGACCTGAATTCCCCCTTGAACACCCATCATGAGTAGGAGGACCAGGATGAAGTTAGGGTGTATTTACATTCAGAAAGCCCCCCTGGTTTCCGCCTGAACGTGCGAGTTATTTCCAAATTCCGAGGGTTCAGGAGGAAAACAGAAGGTGTGTTAAACCTATTTATCGCCTGCACCGCCTAAAATGTTTTCCACTCCATCCCCCCTGGAAAGAACCGGCAAACAGATCATCCTGGCTATCAGGGTTAATTCAGGGGATTTATGATTCCTTTTCATTCGACAGGAGGAGAAGGGGGAAAAAGTATCAGTTGAGAAGGGTTTTGGCGCATTTAGGATGACGCAGGTTCATATAAGGAGTTTCTCAGGATGTATAGGATGAAGAAAGAAGGAAAAAATATCTCAAGGAGGTAATAGGGGCGAATAAGGTAGATATACGACTCGAGGAGGTAATAGGGGAGAATAAGGTCCAGATATTCGACTCGAGGAGGTAATAGGGGGGAATAAGGTCCAGATATTCGACTCGGGTTGAGTCGACTTAACAATTAGCTAAGTTGTCGAGGAATATCTCCAAATCTAAGAGAGATTTTTTTTGTAGCTCAGTTCGTTCTTCAAAACAGGTTTTAATACAAATTTTGCTGTTTGCCTGAAATTCCGAGATATCCATTAAAGAATGTCCAAAGTCAAAATTGACTTGGACTGTTTTTCCGCATCTTTGTTGTCAACATTAAAATCCGTCAAGTAGTTCATAAGATATTTAACAAAATATATTTGCACATTAAATTGCATATCTCAGGAACCATTTGGCCGATTGCACCCATCCAGAATATCAACCCTTAGTATTATAAGAACTATAATCATACTGAATTTCAACTTGCTATCTTATATCTTTTTTTCTTTTTTCATATATCTCCATATCTTCACATCTTTTTTTCTCAAGTTATCATGCGTAAAAGATTCTTCATGGAAAACAGAAAAAGAGCAATATCTCTAAACTGTGTATTAAAGAGTCTTATATTCTGATTGACCTACATAGGGGACATCGAGACGAGTATTTTGAAAGAAAAAATTTGGAATCGGCGCAGTAGTTTTTGAGATATTGAGAAAAAACGAAATTTAAACAAGTTGTTATATCCCAGGAACTACGGGACCGACCGGGCTGAAACAGCGCACCAGAGTTGAGCTCAATAATAGTTACAATAAACCAAAATCTGCAGAGTTTTATCTGCACATTTCACCGTATTTATGTTGAATTTTCTAATAATTAATCACCAATAACCCAAGTTGTTACATACATCTAAACATGACGCTAAAAACATAATTTCTTCACGTTTCATAACATTCTAGATCATTTGCAATCAAAATTACAAACTCGAAAAATCGGTCAAATACAAGACTTCCATTCGGAAGCGAAAATGAATAAAATAAAATCAAATGCATTGTGATTAACCGAATTCTGACCATTCGCTCATCTTCTCTTGAAAAATGATCTTGAATTCATCAAAATTTCGATAATCACTTTGATTTAACTTTTTTTTTAATTATAAAAATTTTTCCAGATTCCAGACAGATGTATGTTGAGAACTATTGTTCTTAGAATTTGAAAATTTTTTACCTCAGATTTGGATCGGAATTTTCATAATTCATTGCACAAATTTTTTTCAAGTATCAACAAATTTCAGATTTTAGAAAAATGTATGTTAGAAGCTGTGATTTTTAGAATTGAAAAAAAAAATTCTTGCGTTTGAATAATATTTTCTCCCTGGCTACATTTCTTATTAAAAAAATTTTTGGAATTAATTTTTCATCAACTGTCGATTACAGAGATTCTGAAAACCTGGGGAAGCTAATCTGAAAACTATCTGGATGCTATAAAATTTTGAGATTAACTTTAAACAGAATCATTTGAACGATAATTCATTGAACGTTGAGTTGCCCCAATACTTCAAATCCCAAGAAATGATTAGCCATAATTCAAAAGAAATGGAATCGTAGGTAACTCCGAGAGTGGGAACTTGCGGTTCTCAAGCAATCTTCCATTTTTCATTCCTTTTTTTTCAACCGTCCTCCTTGCGAAACGAAAGTATCCAATTTAGTTGAGAGGAATCAGGGAGCGTCCGCTAAACGTTGTTCCTGGCCTTAGGGAGGGTTTACCTATTGAAGTAGATCGAAACGCTTGCAAAGAAAACCCCAGAGAAAGAGTAAAAGATGTTACGATGCCACAAAATGTAAGCCTCTAACGTCATTATCGTACAGCTTCTACCAGTAGTTTCTTGATGGAAGAAAATGTAGGGAAACTGAAGTTCTAAGGATGCCGAGAGAACCCGATTTTACTTGGATGGTGTAGGGACACTAACTGTGGATCTTTCTCACCAATTGGTACTTTGAAATGCAGGTAACTATCGATTTGCCAGTGACATATCTTACTACTGGCGTGTTACGGCCAATAAAAGCGGGTAAAGTAGGTTTAGCATACGAAATCATGAGAAACTTGAGGGAAAATCCCGCATTGTGCTGGAAGGGAAAAAATAGTGGTGGAGAGAGTGCTTCCGATTGGATAAATATTTTTGTTTTCATCAATTTGAATGGTATTTTTTTAGAATGAAACTGTGGGAAACGAGGTCCTCTTAAAGTAGTATGAGCGTACTCCAGTTCCGTTGTTGAGTGTAACGAGGAAAAATGAATTTAAAATGCTCGCCAAAATAATTTCAATCTTTAAAACAAGTAGATAATTGCATTCTTTATAAATGAGTACAGTTTTTCTGTTGCTACTAAATTAGCAATTTACTTGCGAATGGATTCTCTTTTCTTTGAAGTTCCTATTTTACTATTTTTTTTTCTATTCATGTCAGAGCACTATCATAAATTGAAATATCAGCAAAGCTTTTGCGTATTATTTCGTTCTTTTAAATGATCTTATATTTACGCAGTCATATCATGGAGAAAATTATTTGGTGAATTTCCCCAACTAGTTGGTGAAATTTCACCAACAAATTGGTAAAATTCACCAAATAATTTTCTCCGTGTAATAATCGAATTGTTTCAGTCTAGGTACTTCTCTCAAATAAATATGGTCTGATTTTTTCTAATTTTTTGCTCTCAATGTGAACCAAACGACCGCATAAAATGAAATAGTCGAAAATTAGTGGACTAAACTCAATGTTATGAGATAGACTGGAAATAAAAATCATTTTATTTAATTCACATTGTTACTGGAGAATATATTGACCATTTAGAAAAACCATTATGGGCCACTTGAGGGAATAACACTTCCCAATGATTGAACAATTTTATTATGCTATGGGAAAAATGGCTCTATATCAATAATCGTGTGAGAATCGAAAGAGTATAAAACAATGATAAAAGACAATGACGTCTGCAACAGAAGAGTGAGAAAAAAATCATGAATCGTGTGTGGGCATGAAGTAGTGTCGATTCATTGAATTGTTCCTGGAAAGCGTGTTTGAAACGTTCCCAAGGGAGGTTTCGGGATTGAGAGAAAAGAGAGACGGGAAATGGAAGGAAGAATCTCGAGGACTTGACTATGGAAGACTGAATTGAAGAAGTGGGGACTGGTTTCACTCGTGCTTGCAATGCACGTGCACAAGAATGGCGCTTGTGATCACTGTTATTACTGCAAATTACGCGCTCAACCGTTTTCACGTCAGTGTAATCACTAGTTTTTACACGCGATAAGCGATGAGTAAACAAGGAATTCCAACAAGCTCTGTAATCATTTCTATTTTACGAACGAGCCAAAAACATTCTATTATCTCTTGGAGGAATGATATTCTAATTAACGAAAAATTAACAAATTGCGAAAAATTTGGGGAATTTTTATGAGATAGTAGGGGGCTACGCCTCCTGCTCGCTCCGCTCGCCAACCCCCATATGACCCTTATATGATCCCCATATATGACCTCCATGATCCTTACGCTGACTCTTAATATGACCCTCGTACCCGTCATTCTGACCCTCATTATATCCCTCGTAACCCTTATTTTCACCCTTCATTTCTGACCCTTAATTTTGGAGTCATAATTCGAGCACCAAATTTTCATCACGTGAAGTCGATTTGGATTTTTACAGTATCCCGAGTGGAAATTCTGTTCAGGTCTCAATCAGAAACTGATCAAGTTCGATCCGAAATTCTGATCAGGTATGTTACGCCTCTGCCTTATGTTTTCCATTAGGGTTTCTGCGCCTTCCATCATTAGGCATTAATTAAATTTAATTTTTTGAGAGAAAAAATTAGTAACTTCCTAGCCGGGAATCGAACCCGGGACCTCCCAATGTCGCGTCGGGTGCTCTTACCATCTGAGCTACCAGGACACTTACGAATTTCACTCTCAAATTGACTCATACTCGAGTGGAAATTCTGTTCAGGTCTCGATCAGAAACTGATCAAGTCCGATCCGAAATTCTGATCAGGCATGTTACACCTCTGCCTTATGTTTTTCCACTAGGGATAGAGAGATATTGAGGCCCTTATTTTGACTCTTGTAACCTTTAGTTTCTGACCTCCATGACCCTTATTTGACCCTTAATCTGACCTTTGTGATCCTTAATCTGACTTTTGTGATCTTTAATCCGACCCTTGTGACCCTTGTAACCTTTAATCTGACCCTAATTATAAACCTCGTGACCCTTAGTTTGTGACCCTGGGTTTTTGACCATGTCCCTTATTTGGACCCTTAATGTGACCGTTGTGCTCCCCTTACTCGGGCCCTGAAGCTGACCCTCGTGACCTTTAATCTGCTCCATATAACCCTTAATCTGACCCTTGTGACCTTTTTTGGACCCTTGTGACCCTTAACTGACCCGCATGACGCTTATTCTGACCCGTGTGGTTCTCTCCGTGATCTTCATGACCTTCTTG